ACCAAGTTGTTCTAACGCAACAACAAAGCACTAGCTTAGCAACAAGCACAGTAACAACGGTGAGCGCAGCTCTCACAACAACAACTACAACCACGACTTCAGCAATGACAGCGGTTTCACAACGCAGTTCACCCACACCTGCACAAACGGAAATTTCGGCACCAGCCCAAGCCAAGCAACGCAGCTCAGCGCAAGTTGACCTACTTAATCCAACAACCCGTACATTGACTCAAACGGGTATTGATAGGTATATTAAAAATTACAAAAACGAAAACCACTGACATTAACCCTCTACTGGGAAATAAGTTTGCGATTCTGGACAATGAATGTGACAAAGATCCGAATGAAGTTTCTAAAGCCAAACCCAAACCGCCCCCAATTTATTTACGAGAGCAAAACTGTAGTGAGCTTATTGGAGACAATACGTTCCACGTAACATCAGTTACCAAGGGCAATATTAAAGAGACCAAACTTCAGATTCTAACTGAAGAAAATTACCGGTTGGTAACCAAACACCTTAATGAAGATAAGAAAAACTTCTATAAGTACCAGCTCAAAAGCAGCAGAGGACTGCAAGTAGTAATAAAAGGTATAGAATCAAGTGTACCCATTGCTGATATTGCTCTTGCTCTAGAGAAGGCGGGATTTTCTGTTAAAAATGTTGTCAATATTATCAACAGAGCAAAAATCGCTCAGCCTATGTTTAAGGTAGAACTTAAGCCAGAAACAAAGCCAATGAATAACAACGCAGTGCACCCAATCTACAATCTACGATACCTTCTACACCGAAGAATAACAGTGGAGGAGCCGCACAAGCGAAACGGTCCCGTACAGTGCACAAATTGTCAAGAATTTGGGCACACCAGAACATACTGTACCTTGCGCCCAGTGTGTGTTGCCTGTGGCGACCTTCACGCTTCCGCTTCTTGCAAGGCTATCAAAGATGATGTGGCTGTAAAGAAATGCAGTAATTGCGGAGGTAATCACACCGCCAATTATAGGGGATGCCCTGTATACAAAGACTTAAAGTCTCGCATGAATCAGCGCAACACAGCCGTACGCTCTTCCACCACTCCAACTAGCTCTTATACATACCAACACCTCACGCCATCAACCACTACACCAGGAGCCTTTTTTGCCAATGCGCAGAGAGTTCCCAACGTTTATTTTGCCGACGCGTTAAAACTACAAACGCAGCCAAGCACGGCGGAATCAAACTCCAATCAAGAAACATTTGCAAATATTCAAAGAAATAATACTGAGCAAATGCAGCCGAACCCCCCTACTTGTGGCGTAGAAGGAATGATATTGAATCTTACTCATTGTATGACTCAATTCATGTCTACTATGCAAAATATGATTCAAGACCTCATAAAGGCTCAACACCAATTGTTGCAAATTTTAGTGAATAAAAAATGAGTGAATTGAAAATTTGCTTATGGAATGCTAACGGTGTAAACCAGCGTAGATTAGAACTCAGTCAATTTCTCACTGAATACAACATAGATGTTATGCTACTGTCCGAGACACATTTAACAAATAAATATAATTTCTCCATACCTGCATACAAATTCTATGCCACAAATCACCCAGATGGTAAAGCTCATGGAGGCACAGCGGTGCTGATTGTAATCGTCTAAAGCACAATATTCTAGAGTCAAAAGCAACAGCCTGTCTGCAAGCAACTACCATATGCTTACGAAACCGCGACCGAGACTTGAATCTATCGGCTATTTATTGCCCACCGCGATTTTTAATTTCTGAAAATGACTTTAAAGATTTCTTTGATAGCCTGGGTAATAGATTCCTGGCAGGAGGCGACTTCAACGCAAAGCATACGTACTGGGGATCACGCCTTATTAACCCAAAAGGGCGGCAGCTATACAATACCATTATAAACAGGCACAATAGACTAGAGGTCACATCTCCTGGTAAACCTACTTACTGGCCTACCGATATAAAGAAGATACCAGACCTAATAGATTTGGCAATTACAAGAAACATATACAGAAATAACATAATAGCAGAAACTCTACCCGAACTATCATCCGATCACTCCCCTATATTAATAAAACTATGAACAGACCCAAAATATCGAAATTGAGCCTCGTCTAACTTCAAATAACACCAACTGGCTTAAATATAAAAAGTACATCAGTAGTCACCTTAAATTAAACGCTGCACTTAACTGCGAGCGTGATATAGACTCCCTTGTTGAACATTTTAAAGAAACCTTTACTACAGCCGCTGGCCTGGCAACACCAAATCAAGTCCAAGTACCACCTACGCATACATCAGTTACAAATACCGAAATAGAAAAACTTGTGGCAGAAAAGCGGCGCCTAAGAAGACAGTGGCAGAGCCATCGCTCACCAACCTCACAGCTACTGTATAAAGCTGCCAGTAGAAAACTGAAACAAGCACTCAAACGTGCAGAGGATCGCAACTTGCAAAGGTACACTAAGAAGCTTTCCCCGAATTCTACTGAAAGATACTCTCTATGGAAATCGCTAAAATACTTCAAACTACCAGTGGCTACAGAAATGCCAATTAGGAACCAATGTCTAACCTGGGCTCGTAGTGAGCAGGAGAGAGCCGAGTGTTTTTCACACCAGAATGTATTTAAGCCAAACTGTCCAACGAACAACTTCTGGCTGCCACGGCTAACCAAAAATACAAATGAGCTATACACACCTAGCAA